CAACATGACTCCACTCCAACATGGCTCCCATAGGTGTATAATAATAACTAAATACTGGACCCCAAGATGGCAGCTATTCATTCCAATGGAGTTGCTTACCTGGCACATACAGCAAAGAAGGTTTCTAGCTTTCAGGTGTACTTTCATGGTATGCGGCCCACTGAATATGTGCAGTAGTGTTTCTCCCACTGGCCCTGCCCACAAGTTCCTGCTTGGCTCACAGACTTTACATTATGACGACATCCCAGATTTTTTTAAATCACTTTTTCGGCTCAAGGAAAGTTTTACAGATACAAAACCTTTATAGTGTAAAAATGTGGAATATAAAGAGTCATAATTGACCTTGTTTGCAATCAGAACTATCTAGTAGCTGGTTCCCGCCAAAGTTTTCCTCAGGATAGATGGCGCTCAGAGTCTCGCAGTTTTATCTGATGAAGCGAATCATTAGAGGTCTTTGGACGGAAACGTTCTCAACCTACTCTCAAACTTTAAATCGGTAAGAAGCCCGGCTCGCTGGCCTGGAGCCGGGTGTGGAAAGTGAGATGCCTTGTGGCCCACATTTGGTAAGCACAACTGGTGCTGTGGGATGAACCGAACTGTTTCACAGACGTCTCTTTCACGTTGGTGGTCTACGGGGAAAAATGCTTTTTGGACTGCAGGGATTTTAGGCCACTGGAAAAAATCGGATGCAAGGCTTAGCTGCATCCCTGGGGGCCTGACCATTCCCCAAAAGTGAAGCCCAAACATCTCCACCGCCCCCTGGTGGCTGGCTGCAGGATAAGTCTCAACCCCGCCCCCTCTGTGTAAGCGAACAGGACATGGGCCAAACTAAAATATCAAAATACACGTCAAAGATGGTCTTTGTTCACGTGTTCTTGTTTCTGGAAAGTTTGGCTTTGATTAAGTTATTTGATGCTATAAAAAGCAGGTTTGACATTCGTAATGACAGCTGTGTGTGCCAGTTGGTGGCGCCGATCATGATTGGTTCAACAGATGTATGGGTAAGAACTCAATACCACAGAGATTGCTACTGCTCAGACTCTGTCCCCAGATTACGTCACCATTGCATGATGGCGGCGGCTTTGTCCGGGATATTTTGGCTTCATTTCTGTACAGTTGGAGGAAGTGGAGACGTAATGTCCATCTCTATGTACAGTCACTGCGTAAAATGTACAAGCATGGGTTGGTCAAAGGTCACTGTGACATCATAGTACGTTTGCCATAACTCAGTAGTTTGTACGTTAATCATGACAAAATGTCACACAGATATCTGATATGATAAAATGATGAAGTGATGACAGACCAAAAGGTCAAAGGTCAGCTTCACTGTGACATCATAATGTTCTGCAAAAATACTTTTCTGGACATTATTCAGTGTCTTAACTCGGCAACAGAAGGGGAGACATTTGGTCAGATACAGAATACGTGACACTAATCTTGAAACTGTGGTGGCAGGGCAGATCGTCCATGCTGCCTAGTTCATGATGTGTGTGAAGCATCCATGTTTTAAAATTTGTAGCTTCTTCACAGCAGCATCCAAATGTGAGGCACTGTCTACGGTCATGGCTACACAAGTCTGTACAGACATGGATGTGAACTGCAACTCTAATGATTGGCGCAGACGTGTAACCACAAGATGACATTTCTAGTTGAATCATTTTGTGTCCTTTGTCTAGCCTCTGTGTAACTGTTAATAAAAGGGGGATAGAAAAAAGTTATAGTTTATTGAAGGGTTTTTAACAGACATAGTGGCGTTCATGGGAGCTCTGTGTGTGTGTGCGCGCGTGTGTGTGTTGGAGAGATGATTATCTAGAAGCAGCGTTTTACGTTAGTTTGCGGGTGTGTCTGCAGCCAGTGGTTCTGATCTGACTTACACTCACATATGAAGTATAAATAACCGAGACGTACACTTGAATGTGAGCAGCAGCTTGTTGTTGGACCATGTGATCCAGTGAGTAGGGGTCGCTCTCTTTTCTCTCACAGGCCCTCCCTCCCTCCCTCCCTCCCTCTCTCTTCCCTCCTCTCCTGCTCCGTCTGTAATCACCTATTCTTGGAGCTTTTTTCCAATTGCCTCATCGGAAAACCATGCGGAGAGGGATGGCCGATCTGCAGTGATTGAACAGTTCTGCTCGCAATTTAACTCCATCTGATAGGGGTTAGCGAGGCCTCTCTCACACAGCGTTCCTCTCCGACTGACTGTGGGAGAGAGAGGTGTGTCGGCTCAAACACAAACTCAACACTCAGACTTTTGCTTTTTCTGGTGCAGCAAAGGCAACACACACAAAAAAGACTAAAATATACAGGAAACTTCAAGGGTGGTGTTGGTTTTGTGGAGGGTTTTTAAATGAGGGATTTTCCCTTGAATGTTAGTAACATGGCATATTTAGACTTTGATCTGTTAACCTCTTCAGCTCTCAACCATAGAGCCATTTTTGCCTTTTTAAGAGGGGAGAGGGGATCTTTAGGTGGAGATAGCAGGTCAACAGTAGATACCACATAGAAGTAGTGTACATCATCTGAAAGCCTGGAAACCTGGAAATTAATTTGAGTTTTTCTTGTCACAAATTTGTAATAAACATTGTTTTTGGTTAGACATTTATTTAAACTTTTAAAGTTGAGTGTATAGAGGTGTAGAACATTATGATTGAAGTATATAATGGCCATTCCTGCATTCAGTTATGCCTCATAAGATTTTTGGGTTGATATTATTAGTCTCACAGATTTGATGCCAAATTTTAACATTTTATATCACTTTATAGTTGATAAAAATTGTCAACAATGCCACATTAAGACTCCAAGACTTTGAGGAACAAAAATGAATGCTGGGAATTGGTTTCAAAAACTTCTGACATTTGGAGATTTCTGCAAGAATTGCATTCTTCTGCAGTTGGATGGTGAGCACTTCTGTTCTGGAAGCTGCTGAGAATCCTCCTTATTGTCCATATACCTACGAAAGCCATCCATCCCCTAGATGCACGAGGTCTCTAGTTTGAGGCTGTGAAGTTTCATGAGGCTGTGATTATCGTAGAGGTCACTGTGGGTCATTTTATACAGTGAGGTCAAGTTTCAATAAATGGTCTCACTACAATGAAATGGGTCCTATGGGGGGTAACGTCATCACAGATGAATAAAAATGGGCTCATTGAATCCACAAGAGTCTCAGCTTTCCAGTCAGACTCAATTTATACAATTCCAAGACATTATGGACCCCAGTAAGCAGAAATATTCAAATACAATAGGCAACTTTTACTGCATGAAGAAAACTGCATAGTTTTTGCCCAGAACTGCATGGGACTAGCATAAAGTGGGCCTCCCTGTAAAGTGGAGACTTGTGAGCACCCATAGATTCAATTTTCATTCATATTTCCTGAGATGAGAGGTGAAAGGACCCCTGTGAAAATGGCCATGCCAGTTTTTCCTTCGCCAAACTTTAGCCTAACTTTGAAGCGTTACTTAACTACCTTCCAAACAAGCAGGCATGACATGGTTACCAATGGATGCCTTAGGTTGTCTCGTTTCATACGATACCAGAATCTTCACTCTAAACTCAGCTCACTACAGCCTCTGAAAGATTGTACTGTCGGCTGAGGACACTGGCGTCCCTTCCCTGGGGGAGTGGAAAAGGTTCACTCATCAAAAATGTAGAAAATCCTGGCAAGTTTTCAGAATTGTTTCATCGTATAAGAACTTAATCCTGTTTGTTTTGTTGTGCACTCATGAGTAAAGCCTGTCTTAATATTGTGTTCTTTAGCTTATCACAGATCTATCTGTGTCATCGTATATGTTGTCCTATCTGTGCAGACATGGGCGCATTGTTGACATATTGTTATTTTGAGGCAGCAGAAAGTGACTGCACCAATTACCTAAAAAAAATCCTGGTCTCAAGTTAAGATGGTGCAGTATTTTCCTGCTATTTAAAGGGTGCATTATTTAGATTGTAAGATGCGCCTACATAGGCAGGTTCACAACTTGTGTACACTCTCACCCTTTGCCCCTCACACCTCACTTGTGGAGTTGGAGAATGCATCTATAGATCATTAGGGCCCTCTGTATTACTGAACAATATCTGACACCTGATTAAATGCTCCTCATTAACTTTGAGCTTTTTATTATTTTAAAAACGTGGCTGCATTCTTCTTCTTCTTCTTGTGATCCTCCGATATGTCTTCACATTGATCGTACAGACACTGCGGTCGGCTTGTCCTGATGGTGCAGAATTACGATTACAAGCCACTTTTATATCTGCTTTTAAAATTCACCAACACGCAGCCAAATATGATTTTAGCGTGTCCACACATGTCACTTCGTGCTTCGTGGTACGATCTGATGATGAAAGCCTCCTCCAAACGAGATGTGTAATTACAGCCATCCTGTATATCATCATGTACTTTGTGTACCGTACCATGAGGGAGAAATACCATAAAAATAACCTCAGATGCAGCTGTGGAAAACTGCTCAGGGGTCAAGTTGCCCACGAGTTTTTGGTTAAGGATCAATTTTCATGCTTGTTTCCAAAACCTCAGTCACCAGTGGGTAAACTGGAAAGTGACCCCAGTTTAGCCTCTGCCTCACCCTGCGGAGTGGAAACTGTCCGTCCTCGGGCCAACGCTTGGGAAAAGGAGCAGTTTAACCTTTTCTGACAAGAGAAGGAAATTGATTTTGTACCACTGGATGAGTGGTGGAAGAAGAACTCGGATCCCTTAGTTGAAGTGGAAATACTTCAGCCTAAAAATACTTCATTAGAAGTTAACGTTCTCGAGGTAGTTCCAGAAGTACTGTCAGCAAAATGTACTTAAAGTATCAAAAGTAAAAGTTGTCATTATGCAGAACTCCTCACAAGGTGTTAGATTATTATAATTTTCTGTTTTTATCTCGAACAAATACATATAGTACATGCTGCACTGATAATTTCTCACCCTGACTCTCCCAACAGTATTAATCATTTTATTGATTTATGTGGATCTTTTCTTTAGTTCACATTTTATTTTCTGTGTTCTCAGGATTGAGATCGAGGACTCGGAGGCTGTGGGCATCTCCAACATCATCTCCAACATGATCACCATGTTCCCTCGAAGTACTTTAACAGCGCTGCCCAGCGACCTCTTCACCTCCTTCATCAACTGCCTCACGCTGCTCACCTGCTCGTTTGGACGCAGCGCCGCCCTCGAGGAGGTGGTGAGTAATAAGGAGTTCATGCCAAACCTATTTGCTGAAGGTTTCAAAGGATTAAGTGTTCAATTTTTTTTTGGTTCTTTCTTTATTTCATTTGAATGTTTTTGAGGATCCTAATGGAATAAAATAATCCAATATCACAAGGGAAAAAAACATACATCAAGAGATAATCGTAATAAATATTTTCTATAGCAGAAATATGTTTTTTTCTGCTTTCCTCTTCTGTTAAATCATCTCGTGAGCTCCTTGAATTTTTTTATTCCTTATTATAATATCATTACATTTAAAGACGATGTACAGTGACTGTAGGAGTTAAAGTGATCAAAAATAGCCATCTTTGATATGTGAAATCCAAATTTTAAGTCACAGTTTAGGCCAGAGCGCATCAGTGACCACTGTTCAACAGTGTGAAAATGATTCTGTGTGTATGATATGAACACATTGAATATATGACCTGAGCGATTTATGTCACTGACTTGTCACTGGGTCATTAAAGACAACAAAGCCCAGAGATCTGAGTCTCATTATGACATTTTGTTGCTGACATCCACTCGCTCTTCTTCTCTTTGCTCAGCTGGATAAGGACGACATGGTTTACATGGAGGCGTACGACAAGCTGCTGGAGTCGTGGTTGACGCTCGTCCAGGACGAGGAGCATTTTCCTCGCGGCTGCTTCGTCCAGCCAGCGATCCAGGTTTTTAACTCGTACATCCAGTGTCACTTGGCTGCTCCTGACGGCACCCGGAACCTGGTGAGACTCTGATGCAGTATTTCACTTAACATTCATGATAAAACAGTGTGTTTTACTGAGGGAAGGCAACCCTAAAGATTTGGAAGATGTGTTACAGGATAGAAATGAAGCATTCTGTTCCATTAATTTCAGCACTATAATACTAGATATACTCATGCCATTATGTTCAAAGCCATGATTGCTCTCTATCCTCCTCACAACACGTTGACTTACTTTTCCTTTCACATTTTCTCTTTGTGATTTATAAAACCCTGACCCCACGCTCACCTTCCTCAGTCAGTGAATGGCATATCATCTCATGAAGAAGAAGAGATCAACGAGCTGCAGGAAGACGACAGAGAGCTGTTCTCCGACCAGCTGTCCAGCATCGGTGTGCTGGGACGTGTAGCAGCTGACCACTGTATCCCTCTGCTCACAAGGTAAACTAGTAAAACTTAACCAAGTACTTCATACCATCTCCTGCTGTGACCTCTCCATGAGACACCTCCAGAAGGCAGAATTTCTCTCTTGACTTTTGTTTAGTTGCATAATTATAATTTCATTGGAGATATATTGTAATCTTGGAGTTCAGGTAGCGAACACTGTGATTGTGTTTCCCATGTTAACGCCAATCTTGTGACGTCGTCCTGCAGCCTCCTCGAGGACCGGGTGACACGGCTGCACGGTCAGCTCCAGAGGACCCAACAGCACCTCATGGCCACGTCTGACCCCGGGTCAATGGACCGCAAAGTGCTGGACGACCTCTACGAGGACATCCACTGGCTCATACTGGTGTCAGGTCAGCAGCAAGACGTGACACTCTGTGTCTTTTTATTTTTAAAAAGATATAAGATTTTGGAGTTGTCTGATCTCTTTATACATTGACTGGATCAATTTTAGTGAAAAACGATATATTTCACTACTAAGAAATACACATTTAAACTAGTTGCAGTCAAGTATAACAGGGTTCAGACATATATTTGTGAAATCACAGAGGGCACTTTGAAAAAGCTGTGTGATGTTCTTCTACACTAGAATATGGCATTTTTTAATAGTGTTCACAAATTACTTTTCCAGTGCAGTTTATTCCAATTAAGTGACGTTATTTGTGAACAAGACAAATGAGCAGAGCTCCACCCGGCTGTGTGGGTTTGTGTTAATGAAATATTGTCTGAATCAGCATCATTAAGGGCGTGCACAGCAGCACTGCAGACTCCTCACCATAAACTTACCATTTAGGTTGGCTGGGCCAAAAGGAGCGGCCTTTAGGGATGAAATTCTGTATTTTATTTTAATTTTTATGACCCTGTTACAGACCTTATTGTGAGCAGTTTCATGTAGGAACTGTTTCTTTCTACTGAACTACACCAGCCAACCATATCATTGTGCAGAAGGAAGAGTGCATCTACTCATGGACGAGATGTTTGACAGCACAAGATGTAAACACTAATGATGATAATCTAGTTGTGTATTTTTTGTTTTGGAAAAGTAGGCTTTAACATGCCATCTATATCTGTCTGTGCGTCCTTTAGGGTATTTATTAGCAGACGACCCTCAGGGTGAAACCCCGTTGATCCCCTCAGAGGTGATGGAGTTCTCCATCAAACACTCGACAGAAGTAGACATCAACACAACACTGCAGATCCTAGGGTCACCGGGGGAGAAGGCTTCATCCATACCAGGCTGCAACCGCACAGACTCCGTCATCAGGTATTGTGTGTGTTAAAGGTCGATAAAATGCTTTGAAATATTTTAAGTGCCCATTTGGCATTGGATGCTGCTGAAAAACAAGATTGACCACTCAGGAATTTATAAGATGTGCTGAGTATGCTGTTGTCCTCTACCAAAACACACTGAAGACTCTTCCGATTATTTCCATCATCGTACATCAGAGAGAACAGTAGGGCCGAAACATCCGTTGGATTCTGTTGAGTGAACCTGAAGAAGCCACAGGCAAAACACATTGTTGTCTCTCAACAAGATCACAGTAATTCAGTTCAGTGTGTAGTGGTTTATGTTTAGGATTTTATTTGAGATTTTCCTGCATCCGACCAGCACCTGGTGCTTGATACTTTCTGTGCAGAGGGAGTTCTGCTTAATAGTGAAAAAAGCCAAACATTTGCTGTTTCGTGTTTCTTAGATGTGAGATTTTGATGCTTTTCTTTGTCGTACATGAGAATAAACCAAAAAGCTTTGAATTTTTGGACCGTTCGTCTGATAAACGTACTATTTGAAGACGTCACCTTGGGCTCTGTAAAATCACACAGGCATGTTTCACTTTTTTCTGACATTTTATTGACAAAAAGATTAGATTAAATTGATACTGAAAATAGGGGAGTCCCCGACTAAGAATTTACTTTGTTGAATAGGATTCGTCAAGTCATGCCTGTCATCAACTAAGGGCCTGTCCCAATACCCACATTTTCCCTAGAAATACCCACTTGCACTTGGTTGTGCGCGGTCATGTTTAAGCTAGTGCTGTCCCAAAACAGAATTGAGGTAGTGGAAATGGTTTCCAACACTTAAAACCCGCACTAGATTCCAAGGGAGCCCCAGCCCACACTTTCAACGAAGTAGAAGATGAAACAACTTGTGAAGTCAGCAACTTCGGCAAGTTTTGAAAGACAATTCGTTACTGTACGATCGGAATGTAGGCTATACAGACAAGAGATGGTTGGACTAGCGTAAACTCATTAGCAACTGGGTTGAACACAGCGTCCAAATATTTAAACAAAACGACGTACCCGAACAAAATCGATCAGAACTAGAAGACGTTGTAGGCGCCTCCTGTTTTCAGCATTTCTTCTCCGTTGATTCATCAGACAGAGAAGAATAAACATAGCACACACCACAACACAAGCGCAGGAGCCGGCATTTTCATTGCGTCGCTACTATGCGTGACATATGCCTGCAATTCGGCCACGCAGACTTGCATGAAGTGGTGTCCCATTTCTTAGGGAAAGATCTCTACCCTAATATTTTTCACTTCCCTCATCAAGGGTCTTGTAAACTAGGGCACTCAATACCAAGTGAAAGATTTAAAGGGTAGAAATGGGATTGGGCCTTAAAGTTGAATCATGTTTTGTTTTGGGTTTTTTGCTCATTGATCCATTTTGTCATTTTCAGCATTAGTTTAAAAAAATTTCACACCAGGAAAAAAAAGAGCTGAAACACCCAGTTAAACAATTCATCTTCTTGGCCTGACAAACAAACTTGGTTCCATCTATCCCTGTTTGTTGTGTAGAAGTGTGTGTGACTGTAGGTGCGGCAGCAGCGCTGTCGACAGTACTGATAGGGAGTGAAGAGATCGATAGACAGTCAGAACACATCACTTAGTTCAGTTCCTGTTTGCTTTCGGTGGGTGGAAACAGAACTTTCGACTTTCTGTTGGAGCGCGAGAGAGATGTAAGACATAAACAGCTGTTTGAGTGTCTTCCTCTGCAGGTTTTGACAGAAAACTGTTTATAAGATCAAAAAATATTAACACTGTGTAAACACTACGTTCTATTGTGAGTGCTCTGATTTATGAATTTGAAAATGGAATGATCCTTTGTTTCATAACCACCTCCTTAGATCAAATAGTCGACTATTCAGGATCACCCCTAAATCAAACCACTAGTCCCCTTTTTTTGCAACTGGAACCAAATGAATTTGCAAATATTTCATGTTTCATGTCTAAAGCCGCCTTTTTGTCTCAATTTTCCGGGAATTAAGTTGTTATTGTCTTCCTCTTTTTGCCATTAAAACACATACAGTGTAAACAAGGATTCAAATGATGCGGCTGGAGGAACTTTAAAGTTTTATATTTTGAATTGTGCAGCATTTTGTAAGTGTTCCTGCAGGATTTTTTTCACTGCAGTTTCTGGCTGTTAAATGAATTTCTTTGCTACCAAGAGTTCATGAGCTATTGAGCAGTGTGTTCCTCCTTTGTTGGGTTTCAAGGCGTCATAGGGGCTGAGACTACTGAAAAGTTACTTAGTGGCACACGGCATTGAGAGCTGGAAGGTCGACAGCTTGAGTCTCCAAACTAAGAAGAAGAAACTACGTGTAGGTTGGGTGAAAGAGGAATTTGACATTCAGTAGCTGTTTTTCCATCAACAACACAAGACTTTGTGGACGAAGGTCTCAGGTTTGAATTTGTGTAACAGAAAGAATGTTAAGCAAAGCATCTGTGAAAATGTCATGCAGCACATGTTCGAAAAGTATTTTCGACACTGAAATTGACTCAAGAACCAGGCAAACGCTGTCAGATAGATGGTTGATGGTATGTCTTTGTGTCGAGGAGTCCTTGACAGTTTATTTCATCTTAACATACCCACCTCCATATAAACTTCCAGAATAGACTTCCTTGCTGTCGGAGGCTGGTTGGACTTCTAAGTGTTGTCACAGTTATTATCCTATAAAGCTAAAAGGTGGGTCAGTGCCTTCACGTTCACACCCAAACACCATCTGAATGTGCAGCCAGTAAAACACAGAAACAAACACCCTCTCACTGTGGTTTGGTTTAATGTGGTTTTAAGACCAACATGCGGTGCATGTGTCTCAGGATGACAAACACTTAAACACGCACGGGGTAAAAAACAGCTTAATAAAACTGTCACTACTATAGCATGAGCTCTCTTTCACACAGACATGGAGGTGTTTCTCTCACACTCCTGAACCTGAGAATCTTCTGATGATAATAAGACAGTCCAACCTCACAGGGAACAAAAATATAAGTGGGCTGAGGTGTCCTCTTTATATCCCCTCAAAGCTGGAGCAGGCAGAAACTAGGAAAGGCTACAGAATGTGAAAATGCACCCTCCTCCAGCAGCTCTCCTTCTCTCTTCTAAGCCCCTCCCATCACAAGACCACAAGCACATGTACGTGCTTCATACAGTAACCCCGTGTTTCCCATACATTGATTTATTTAATCTTATTTTATTGGAGTGTTGCTCACAGCTCATTCACTCAGCCCTTCTTTGCCCTGCTGTCTCTGTTTATCAGATAACAAATGAGACAGGAATTAGCTGCTAGACACCCCACGGTCACTCCGCCTTGCTCCCCACCACTGTGGACTGCTTCCCCAGGCAGAGAGTGGGCAGCAGCTTGGGAGATGAACCTTCAGTTGCAGGCTGTAGCAGCTTGAATTTGGCCAGCACCAGGTGTCACAGTGTGTAACAGCAGCAACAGAAAGTTTGCTGATCGGGCAGGGAGTCAGGGCTGTCTGGTCCCCTGGAGCTGGGGTTTGTGCTGCCTGGATTTAGGTTGCTGCAGCTGCTGACTGGAGGTCCATCTCTAGAGCTGCTGCCTGCTCTCCTCCTAGCGAGGTGGTCTGTGGCTGTGGGAAGTGAGGCGGAGAACACACTGTGACTCAAGGCTCTAATTAATGTTAGCTACATAAATGTGAACTTGAAGTCGCAACTGTGAGGCTTTAGCTCCAGTTAGCAGAAGGCTAAACTATTAGCAACATTTTCTCTACATCTCCAAAACACTTATCCAATATTGAAACATGTTTTTATGTCACAGGCTGATTTTCTGAAGCCTAAAAAAAGAAGTTTAGTTTTCTCTCAGACCTCTTGAATTAAACCATGCTTAAAGTTTATTAAGGGATTTTTACCAAATGAAGCCAAAATTAAGCTGCCTATCCCAGTTTTGATATTGTCAGTCAGACATAAAAAGCAATTTGTAGTCAGCCTGGGTTCTGGGAAATTGTGATTTTACCATTTTCTGACTTTTAATATATTAAATTATTAATCAGTTAATCAAAACATAAAAAGTGAGATTTATTGGTAATGAAAATAACCCCAAGTGCAAACACCCCAGCACTGCCCGCTATTATAAGTTGATAAATAAGGAGACGTCCAGGTGCCAGCTGCAGGTTAGAGTCAGAGCCTCCATTTCTTTTCCCAAACACAGTTTCAGCTCTGAATGAATTTGCTGCTACAGTTAAACATTTTCTTCTGTGTCACAGCTCAAAGTGACAATAATGTATCCGCAGGACGGTCGAAGAAGTTGTTGATCGATAAAAGTTATTGAACAATTTTTTACCCGAGGGCTGAGATTTCTAACTTCCAGACTAAATGTTCAGACAGTACTTTCCTTGTGTTACTTTCCTTCCGTACGAGAAGAAATATGTGTTTATGGTAATTTAAATGCCTCTCCAGTTGCTGCAGTGCATGCTGGTCCATCTCTGCTACTGTTTGGATTAGAAGTTGTTCTCACAGTGTGCGTGTCCCTGTGAGGCTGTTGAACAACAGCACAAAATGATGCTGATAAAAATACACCGACATTATAATGAAATGGACTCTGGGTAGCAGAGCGCATCTCACTGCTGCTATCAGACAGGATTTATCTTTTCAACAACAATTAATTGTGCAGCCCGACAGAATGTAACTGCGGTGTTAGAAACGTTGTGCAGTTCAGGGATGTTGGCAGCTACACTGTATGCAGGCGCACTTGTGTGTGCACAGATAATCACAGTGACGACAATAGACAGTCACAGTAGCCAGTGACATTGTCTGTTGAAGGTCGTTGAGCCCTGTGTTTTCTAGATTGTTCATTATGTCAAGGAGTGTGTGTGTCCAGTATGTGTGTGTGAGAGGGGGATGACGGCAACGACAGAGGATTGCTGAGATGAGTGGCCGATGGCGTCAGGTTTCCTATCAGCGAGCGTCCGACCCCGGCCCCGTAAATGTCAGCGTGGTTTTGTTTTCTGCAAACAATGTGAAACTGTGCACTGTCCTCGACGGAGGGGATGGACCTGTAAGCTGCTTTAAGCCCTCTGTCTCTCTGTCCTTTATATGCTCTGTGTGTGTCTGTGTTTGTGTGAGTGAGAGATGCACTGATTTTCTTGGCCAAGTTTCCATTTTAGGAAAGTGTGACCTGCAGATTCCTCTGATTTTCTTCATTTTTAAGAACTATGATTAACAACGGAGTCTTTTTCACCTAAACCACGTTAACGAGGCTACATTATTATCGCCGGTTGTGGAAATCAAAGATAACATCAAACAGCATCACATAATTGCAGCACACGGTGTCAACAGTTTTCAAAATTATCTCCCTAATACCGTGAATATATCACCAAGTATTATTTTAGTTTTCAGGTAGTTTTTGTGTATTGAATCACTGCATTGAACAGGTGCAGTGCTGCCACATACACTCTGCTTCTACAGTCACCTCACCCAGCAAATCTTGACCACCTGCACACCTGGATTGTTTTTTGCCTCTACCTTTAGATTTGATCACTTTTAATTTTAATTCAGTAATTCAGCTCCTAATCGGTAGTTCATGTTCGGCACATGGGAGAAGTCGCAGCTAGTTGCAATCTGCACTTCTCACTGCTAGATACCAGTAAATCCTACACACTGTTCCTTTAGATAACATTTACATTTTTTCCCAAACTGCACCAGGTTACATTTCTTTCTTTCACTCAAACTCAATATAAAAAAGTGCTCTCTTAGACTTATGCGTATGTCGTGATGTCGAGGTCAAAATTATATAAATTCTTTTCAGTATTTGAATCAAAAGCTGCTCCTTTATTTTTCTCTCTGCTGAGCTATTCTTGTTACGACCTTGTTTATATCATCCAGTCTATTTCAGTCTTCATTACTCTCATCCTTTAGACTACTCACCTTCCTGCTCTCATGTCGTCTCACGGTTTCATCTCCTAACCTTTCAGTTTTCTACCTGCACGGACTTCTCTGCCATCTCGTCTCCCATGTTTCACTCCAGCTACTTTCTTTTATATTCTTCTGTCACAGGTTGCTGTCGGCGGTGTTGCGGACGTCAGAGGTTGAGTCCAGGGCGACGAGAGCGAGTCTGACAGAGCTGCTGAGCCCTCAGATGGGAAAAGACATTGTGTGGTTCCTCAGACGCTGGGCCAAGACGTACCTGCTGGTGGATGAGAAGCTGTACGAGCAGGTATGAGCTGACGTACCTCCACATGACATCAGATACTTTAGGCATGTAGAAATCACGGTCGATCGGGTTATGTGAACCTCATATATCCAAATCCTCACTCGAAGGAAAAAAAAAGTGTTGAAGAGCGTCGTTCCTGTGGGCTCCAGCAACACTAAACCCCTGAGCTTGCCTGAGAAGGACTAAATGCACAAAGCGGCTATTTATAAATATCCCATGGAGAGAGAGACTCACTGCAGCCTGTTCTGTTTTGTTCTGAAAATGTTGGCGTGCAGCCTCGTTCTGTGGACGATAAACCAGGTGCAGACTGATAAAGGAGGAAATACAGTGAGTGACAACAACCCTGCCCACATTTACTGTTTGTGGTGGAAACACTAGGGTCTAGGTACCATGTCTGAAGGGTTATACTTGGCTCCGAAGGTACCATACTGAAAGTGTTTGGTGGAAACGTCACCATGCTGCTGCCGTGTGTAGCAGACTATAAATTCGTGGTGCTCCCATTGCAATGAAATAACAAAATACAAGTTGAAATGTTTTATGCAGCTGCACTTGTCGCCATCTTCCACATGTTGTTTTTGTAGTTCTCTGCTGGTCGACAGTCTTCTTACTTTGGCTTTTAACAGCAGACTAGAACACCTGCAGGCGTGTACGCAGCCCTGTCAGGTCCGAAAGAATTGCATCCTCAGTACCTAGGATACTGAAAAAAAACGAGTACCGTCACTTTTTCCAAGTTTTGGCACTGACTTAGTACCAAAGTAAAATTCTCAGTCAGCAGTCATTGTATTTTTTCCCCATCACAACAGTTAACCAGATGTTTCTCCTCATCTCTCTTCAGATCAGCATCCCCCTGAGTACAGCGTTCGGTGCAGACACCGAGGGGGCCCAGTGGATTGTGGGGTATCTTCTGGAGAAGGTGATCAACAATCTGTCAGTTTGGAGCTCAGAGGCTGAGCTGGCCAACGACACCGTGGAGCTGCTGGTGACACTGGTGGAGAGGAGAGAGAGGTGAGGACAGAGGCGATGTAGAGCTGCAACAAGAACATGAATTTGCAATCATTTTTATTATCAATGAATTGTTATTTTTAAAGACTGAATAGGTTTAAGCCTCTTTGCTTCCTTTTGATATTAGAAAAATATAAGAAGAGAAGTCTGATTGATCTGTTTACCACATAAACAGCCTTGTTGTCTGGTGAAATGACAAATGGATCGTATTGTGTTAAGATATTGAGAGTGCTCAGAAGATTTTGGGAAACATCTTTTCTTTCAGCCAAAATTAAAACATGTAAGTGGATCCTACCAGAGCACAGACTCTAACAGACACTCTGCCTCCTCCCTCTGTCCGTTCAGGGCGAACATCGTGGTGCAGTGTGAGAGCTGGTGGAACCTGGCGAAGCAGTTTGCCACCCGCAGCCCTCCCCTCCACCTGCTGTCCAGCTCCGTGCAGAGGACGCTGATGAAAGCTCTGGTTCTGGGAGGCTTCGCTCACATGGACTCTGACGCCAAGCAGCAGTACTGGGCTGAGGTAAGAAATGAAATGTGTAAAACAAGGCTGGAATGATGGTAGGTGCTTAAAAACTATGTATTTCTCTCTTACTGAGAGCTGCAGTAATCCATTAAGGTGGAACATCCAACAACCAGAGTACATGACTTAAACTACATTAAAACAATACAAGTCTTCCTCAGAGCTCTGCAGACTCAAGTCTCATCAGAGGAGGAGTGATGGATGCAGTCGATAATATTCCCCCGTCGAGTCTTTTTCCCGGGTGTATAACATGATCCTTTTTGTGATCCTGGAGGCCTTTTGTCTTAATAGGCTGACAGTAGTAAATGGGGGTGCAAAGCCACAACGACTCCAGAGTAATTAGGGGGGGTGTTACGAGTGAGACGGCAGCTGTTGGCTCCTGCAGCTGCTTTGTCTGAACTTGGAAGGCTCTGCTGGAGGAGATGGACCCAGCAACTGATCAAACACTCCTTTGTTACGTCCCCACATTCCTCCTCTCTCCCTTACATGCACCGAGAAATCACTTTTATCCTCAAGTAGCTTGGATTTAGTTTGATACGTACAGTTTGTTATAAGTGAGTTCAGATAACACAGTTTAAGGGCCTGACACAATGAGCAGACGGTCTACTGTCAGTCAGTGTTTAGCCATCAGTGAGCATCTATCACCGTCATCTTTGTGGTGTGTCCCGCATTGTTGACACTAGCCGACCATAACTGCTGTTTTGCGGTCAATTCAGTATATCAAATCCGTGTTGGAGACAGTGGAGTCCATTGTTGAGAGGAATCACTGATTGGCAGTTCAGCTGAGCTCGCAAGAAGAGAAACAGAAGAGAGGAACGTAAACAAACAACTAATGTCAAGAGGGAGTGAGACCAAAACAAACTTGTTACATTAGGAAAGATTGTTTGATTTAGCCATTGAGCTCTTCAGCAGAAACGGTTTGTGTTTGTTTTCATGCATAGTAAAATATATTTAAATCAGGAGAGACTCGTTTTTATCGTAAAAAGAGTATTAATTAACTTGCACATAAGAATGAAAAATGTGGAAAGTCTCTGGCAATTAGACCCCGTCGAGATGGTGTGATTTAAGGAGAGTGATGGATCTATAGTTGAATAGACTAATAGACGCAGGTGGTGGTTTGAATCGTTTGAAATTACGCTGAGCTTCATTTAGTCTTTAAATATCAGGTTTAACTGTCTAACTAGCGTCTTGTATCCGTCCCGTTGGTCTTCAAGTTTCCCTTTTCTTTTTTTTTTTAAATGACGAATACAGACTACCACCACCTGCTGTAATGGAGAGTTACTTCCTCTTATGTAGGGACAGAACATATGTGCTAGTTGGCCGTTGGTTGTAGTGTTTGTGGTGTGTTAAAGTGCAGCTTTTTTTGCTGAGACAATGTGAGGCGACAAAACAGTCAGCTTTCGTAGTCACCAGCTCTTTTATGTTGGTTTGGTGTGTCTGGGCTTTTAGGCTAAGATTAGTCAGAAGTTTCAGTCTGTTTGGCTGCAGGTCTGCCATAAAACCATAATAATTTTTTAGATGTTAAATACGTAAAATGACTATTATGTCTTTTAAGTCCTGCCAGAAGAGATTAATCGCCCTTGACAATTACTGAATTTTCTCCAGGCTGCTTCAATTTGGAGACCGATTCAAACACATTCGGGGCAACAGTCCATTTTGATTCATGAATAACCAGACGCTCCTTGTTTCTGTCCGTCCAGGTGCTCCACCCTCTCCAGCAGCGTTTCCTCAACCTCATCAACCAGGAGAACTTCGCTCAGATCAGCCAGGAGGAGGCCGTCAAACAGGAAATCGTCGCCACGTTGGAGGCGCTGTGTGGCATCGCAGAGGCGACGCAGATCGACAACGTTGCCTCGCTCTTCTCGTTCCTCATGGACTTCCTGTCCAGCTGCATCGGCCTCATGGAGGTAAGAGCGGAGTTAAAGTGGAAGGCAGCCTGTGTGATGGTGTTCGATCTGATTTGATACGTAGCGTTTAGCTTGAAAGACAAGTCAACAAAACTCTGGATACAGTTCATAGGAATCTAAAAATATCTTTACACTCTAAAGTTAAAGTAATACGATGCAAGAGGCCTTAAAATGTTGTGATTAGAGTCCCTGTAAATATCTACATGACACATACATATGTCAGCTGACTGTTTTGTCGTTCAGGTCTACAGCAACACGCCGGAGACGATTAACCTCATCATCGAGGTGTTTGTGGAAGTGGCTCACAAGCAGATCTGTTACCTGGGAGAGGTGAGTTACACGTCTTAAATGTACCTGCAGATAAATTCAGTCATCACTGAAATTGAGGGCCCTTAAAGCCCTTAATGATTCCTCAAGATTTAGATGAAGGTTGAATGAATTAATGAAAAAAGGCCTGTGTGGCTGTCTGAGATTTTAACTACTACCACTTCTGTCCCCTCATCCAGACGAAGTCCATGAAGCTGTACGAGGCGTGTCTGACGCTGCTGCAAGTCTATTCCAAAAACAACCAGAGCAGGAAGCGAAGCGACGCCACAGCGGAGGAGGACCAGTACCAGGACCTGCTGCTCATCATGGAGCTGCTCACAAACCTGCTCTCCAAAGAGTTCATCGACTTCAGCGACACCGGTGAGTCTGCTCGATGTCTCTGCCTTTAAATATCCACTAAAATGAGAATATCAGAGCAGAGGACTTCTCCTTCTTCTTCTTGTTCATGTTGCCTCAGGTGCTTGAGATTAAATTTTCAAACTGCTGTGTGTTTCCAGACGAGGTGTTTCGAAACCAAGACCAGGGAACGCCGGCGTCCAATCGGACAGTATCAGCAGCAGATGTGGTTCTTTATGGTGTCAATATTGTTCTCCCTCTCATGTCTCAGGACTTACTCAAGGTAAGACTGCAAAACGTTGATGTTTTTTAGTGACAGATTTACGATCCAGGTTTGAGCTGCAACAATGAGTCAATTAATCGAGTATTTGATCAACAATTTCAAGCAGAAATGTGATCTTTCGGGTTCTCAAATGAGGATTTGCTGCCTTTCTTTGTCTTACATTAAGGAGGGTTTATTATTTTTGGGTTTGGAAATTTTGGTTGGACAAAACGAGACATTTTGAACACGTCATTTCAGGCTCTAGGATATTGTGACAGGCCAAACGATGAATCAAAAACAGATCTACAGATTTATTGATAATGAACGTAATCATAATTTGCGGTGCTACTCCAGGCTCCACATTTCTGGATCTGTTTCAGTGACATGTTGTGTGACCTGCTGATCTCGTTCTCATTGTTTTCCCAGTTCCCCTCCCTGTGTAACCAGTACTACAAGCTCATCACCTTCATCTGTGAGATCTTTCCAGAGAAGATCCCACAGCTGCCGGAAGACCTCTTCAAAAGCCTCATGTTCTCCCTGGAGCTGGGAATGACCTCGTATCCTCCCACTGCCTGTGTGTGTGTGTGTGTGTGTGTGCATAATTTGTGGATGGTGTTGAGCCTCAATATCTTTTTGGTACTGACCAAAATGTGGTCGTAACACAGAGTATTAAAATCTTTCAAGTACGGAAAGTTGGCAGAAATGTTTGCTCAGACTTGTACTCTTCTTTTCTTTCATCTCTGATCAGACAGTTTCTGAGAACTTTGGTTTCTTTTGTTAAATGGAAAACACATGAACTACACCAATATTCTCCTCTTTTCAGGTAAGTCACCATGTTGTAAACAGACTAGAAATTCTATTTACAAAAAAGTTATTCCACACAGTAAAGTTGCAGGCGCTTGGATGTACAGAGGATATAAGATATTTAAAAAACCCAAATGTTTTAATGTAGCAGCAGAGAAGAGTTTCACCGATTTTTGAGTGAACTGTTGTGTAGTTTCCTTAACGTGTGTGTTCAGGATGAGTTCAGAGATCAGCCAGCTGTGTTTAGAGGCTTTGTCTCCTCTGGCTGAGCAGTGCGCGAAAAACCAGGAGAAGGACACGCCTCTCTTTATCGCTACTCGTCACTTCCTCAAGGTAACCACACCTGTTCACTGCAATAAAGCATGTGCATACATGCACACTCTACCCTCAAGGGCGTAGGTATAAAAAGAGGTGTCTCATGCTTTTTTGTGATGCATGTTTTTATGTTATATGTTGTTCATGTGTTTTTTTCCCTCAAGGCAAAAAGGTTTTATTAATGTGAACGTAATGATACAAATTGCTAAAAAAAAAAAAAGAGCCACATTTGAGGAGTTAAAATACTGAAAGCTGAAGATTTGTAAGACACAAGACAGTTTGGGACACATCATCATGTCATTCTCTTTCCAAGAAGTCACTGCACCTGTCTGAGAAACAGTCGGCACATTTTTCCCCTCAAAACTACAACATGTCAGTTAACTGATGGTATATTATGGTATCTCCTCTAACTCTCGGCAACAAAGAATAAGTTCATTTGCTAAAATGTGAAATTATTTCTTTAACAGTGTGCTATTGTAAACTGTGAAAATGTTCTTGCAACATTTATTTGGACGTACTCCTCTGTGTTTTAATAACTCTGCTCACACCGTGTGCTGCGTCCTTTGTGCCCCCAGTTGGTGTTTGACATGCTGGTCCTGCAAAAACACAACACAGAGATGACGGTGGCGGCAGGAGAAGCCCTCTACACACTCGTGTGCCTGCATCAGGTGAGTGAAGAACACAGACATCCTGAGGCTCCAGTAAAGGTGTCCTCTGGTCAAATACAGAATGATTGTACTCTGGTCTTTGCTGACATTTAGACAGACAGATAGAAAGTTTCCTGCTCTTAACTGTTAGGACACCGAAATATAACCTGTCAGACGTCTTCATCAGGAGGCAGATAAATGACACCAGAGGCCCTCTAGTGGATGGTCTGTGTCATAGCACATAACTGAGCCCTCATTACCACAACACTTGTTAAAGGCATCACAAATAATAAAATATAACATTCATAAAATTTGTTTTTTGTCAGCCATCTAACAAAAAGCCATCTACAATGTTTCACTTTAAAGTTGTCCTCAGTGAATGAGTGGTCTCTCTCCTGTCCCAAAAATCTGGTTTCTTGATTTTGATTTTTTTTTTTTTTTATCTTTATTGTTTTTATTTTTGACCCATTCAGTACGTAGTGTTCAGTTATTACATAGAGCTCAGCTGATATTTGTTTTGGTTTTGCCTCCCTAAAAGCGTTACAGATTGTTGTCCTGTCTGCTGTTACTTATCTTAACCAGCAGTGACCACTAATGTCCATGATTTACCCCTGACAGTGTGTGATAATAGATACGTGTCTCTTTTGTTGTACTCATGATGCATTCAGGGACATAAAGTTTACCTCACACTGTTTCTGCTACACATCAGCCAATGATATCAGCTCTCTTATTTAATGTCTGGACCCTGAGGTGACGATCTGTTTGTCCTCTGTCAGGCGGAGTACTCGGAGCTGGTTGAGACTCTCCTCTCCTCACAGAGAGACGCCGTCATCTACCAGCGGCTGGCCGACGCCTTCAACAAGCTGACGGCCAGCAGCACGCCGCCCACCATGGACCGCAAGCAGAAGGTCGCTTTTCTCAAGAGCCTGGAGGAGTTTGTGGCCAACGTGGGCGGCCTGCTCTGCGTGAAATAACCACTGGAAACTCTGACTCCGCCTCAGATCATCTTTTCTCTTTGTTTTGTTTTGGGTTTTTTTAAGCAACCAATCAAAAGACGCCCCCGCTTCGTCCCTAAGAACTCTGGGTAGAAGAGGCAGCTGGAGGAACTCTCTGTCTCTCTGCCTGCCGAGGGATCCATCTCATGCCTGAATGTTTACCCCGTGTTCACCTCCTCGGATTTCTTTTTTTGGTTTCTCTCCCCGCCCCTCCAGCATGATCGACAGACCCGATGAAGATGATAATGATGATGATGATGTGGTTACCATGGAGACTGAAAAGACGGACTCAGTCTGAGGATCCTTGTGACTGATGTCACTGAGTATTGACCATCATGACGATGAGAGGAGGCGGAGCAGCGGTGGCTGATGTTGCGGCGTCTCTGCCTCCTCCTCCACCTCATGTACCTGGAGGCTGCACACACACACACACACACACACACACACACACACAGAGTGATACTGAGGGTAAAACAAGTTGTTGATTTTGAAAATTGAAGGATTTTTTTTTTCCAGTGTGAGATTTTGTAGTTGAAAGTATTAGAGGGGCCATTTTGTTTCAAGAATGCCATGACGACCACACACACACACACACACACACACTTCTTTTTAACAGTGACACACACACACCCCGCCCCGATCCTTCCCAGAGTGCCTTTGTTTTATTGATTGTTCTGTGTGTGTGTGCAATTTTATTTTGTCTCCATCAACTGACAACAAACTGTGCCTGCCATTCGCCCAGAACACAGCGGATGCACACACACACACACACACACACACACACACACACACACACACACTCTCTCTCAAAAAATCCACATGCACACACACGCACGAGATGTTGCCATGACAACAGAGGTATGGCTGGCCTTGGCTGTCTTTGGGGCTGCTGAACCGCGCAGCACAGGAGGGCATTTGTTTATTTGTTGGCGACAACAGAAAACCAAAATCAGATTCACTAAAGGGTGTAAATATATATATATAAAGTTTTCAAATCAGAAACCACGAGAGAAATGTTTGTTCAAAGACAAAAACAACAACATGACTGAAATGTTTTTATATGCCGGTGAACGGCAGGAAGAGTTGTATGAGTTGAACATTTTATGAATTCAGATGACGAGGGAGCGACTCTCTCAGTTTTGACCTTTTTGCGGTTTGGTATTTTTTCTCTATTCAGATGGTAGTACTGCGGGACACGCGAAGGCTCGGGGCCTCTAAAGTTTAGCAGATTTAATTTCCAGTAGTATTTTTCTACAGCAGCGCATCACTCTTCAACACACACTGGATTGAAGCAGAGACTGTTTGAGCTGAAGGACAGCAATAACAAACCAAATAAAAAGGAGCAGAGCCACTTGTCGAAGCATTATGTTGGAGACCTCCTCGTTCAGAGCACTATCCTGGTTATTGTAGAATGGCTGTTTTGTTAATGAAGTGTAAAAGTGTACATAAAGTTATTGTATAAAACCTCCTGGCCTCTAATGTTTCCTTTACACCAGTCGTGTCTGTTTTATGAAGCACAGGCCTTTTTCACAGCAGACATTTTGTCTTGTAGCTGGAAGAGCACGGGTGAAACTGAGTAAATTAAGGATGGTTCATTTCCATGAGGCGACCCTGTAAGATGAGCCAGCATGCACAATATCAGTGCCTCCCATAAATGGAATGTAGTCATCATTAGTGTCAGTAAATACACCTGTGCTTTGCCTACTGTGACATGTCAAAATGTCTGCTGTGAAGAAGGTCTATTTTGAGGTACGATATTTTTATTTAATTTATTTACTGTTATTTTTTTGCAGAGACAGCACACAAATTAAAGTAATTACACCTGAGTCAGCAGCATTCGCATCTGTTGTCGCTGGGCAAGTCGACATAAAAACGACAGAGCAGCAAATACTCTACATAGGACAGCAGGACACATAAATGTCCATCAACATGAGCTAATAAATGAGTATGATAAATACAATCACTGGTGATGACACAGTTTTGCTGATTGTAGCCAGAGTTTAAGGTTGGTGTTAAACACTGCAAGGCTTCCTGAGTCTCTGATGTTTTTGCGCATGAAATTCCACTTCTTCACAACTTTAACTAAGACAGCAGACTGACGAGAGGCTCTGTGGCGCCCAGTTAACCTCTGCAGATTCTGCGAGAGGCCAGGCAGCCTCCAAGAGAAGAGGGTGCAAGATTGTGATGTTTTAAGCGTCAGACATGCATCAGAGAAGAATAAGAAGTTATAAAAATTGAGGAAATTGTGTTTTTCAGGACATTACAATGATGATGATCCCTTTCCTTTTTATTTGATACTTCTAGGATTTGTTTATAGAGGCCTGGGTGTAGTCACATGTCTCTGTGACCAGATTGTTGTGCAAATGTAAACTGCTTATTAGTAAGTGGAGACAGTGGAGGAAAACCCAACTGTAAAAATACTCTTTCAAGTGCATTAAAAATGTTACCTAAGTTAAAGTATGTAATCAGAAATGTACGTAAAGTATTAAAAGTAAGTGACTGATAGACTTTTGTATATTATCACAAGATAATTATTACTCACGCGTTATGAAAAAGGATTTTACTGTCTTAGTTTGTTGCTGTGGAGCTCATATTGAACTTTTAACTGATTATTTCATGATAAATTAACCTGCTGATTATTTTCTCCATTAATCGACTGTTTGGTGTTTATTCTGAAAATAGTGAAACATCCCAGGACAGTGACCCAGAGCCCAAACTGAAATCTTTAGTGTTTGTTTTGTCCCACAAACAGTCCAGACCTCAACATTATTAAATATAGCATCAAATATAAGCAGCAAATCTTCTTGTTTGTGAAGCTAGAACAATGAAACGTTTTTGCATTTCTGTAAATATTTGCAGATTTTCTGTCAATCGACTAGTGATTCAATAACTTATTGTTTCAGCTGTAGAGCTGCAACAATTAATTAAGTAATCAATTAGTTGTCATTATTAAATTAATTGCCAACTAACAGAGTAATTTTTATATGAAAAAAATAAAAAAAACTTCTCTCATTCCAGCCCCTTAAATGTAAATATGTTTTCTTTACTCTTCTATGAGTAATACAAGATAAGACATTTGAGGACATTATATTGGACTTTGGGAAACACTGATCAACATTTTTCATAACTTTCTGGCATTCTATAGCCCAAATAACTACTCGATTAATTGAGTAATTAATCTACAAATTAATCAGCAATAAAATAGTCATTGGTTTCAGCTGCACTTGTAAAAAGCTGTTAGGGGAGTTCGATTATTAACAAACATATCTGATGAGCTTTTATGTTTTTATGCAAAAATGTAAACTAATTATAGCTGCTGCACAGCGATGGGTCGGGTCCGGGCATTTTTAGGCAATTCTGAGCAACAAGCAGAAGAATTGGAAGACATTTCGGAATTTAGCAACACAATCTGCCTTTTGCATCAGCTGAGGCTTGAACTCACAACCTATCAATTTCTATCTCCCTGAGCCAATTAGTCAGTGACAATTCATGTGTAGCTTCACAAATTGACTAAGCCAGACATGCAAGTTTAGCAGCCGTCCATGCATGGAAAAGCAGATTTCAAACCACTGTAAAAAAAAAAAAATGAGTTATCGAAACAAAAATATGGAAATGCACATATTGCATCTAGACAGCATGGAGATGTTGGTAATTTATTTTAACAATGATTGATTTGCTTCATAAGTGAAAAACTGATGTTTAACTAGTTGAGCTATGTGCAAAGTGAGAAGCATCAGATGGTTTCACACTGAAGTATTGACACAGGATCTTTGTGCAAAGTTTGGTTTCTTTTCAAGCATGAGAAGGCAGATTTTCTAGCAGAAAAAAGTCTTGAAGATGCTGCACAGTGATGAGTCACGCTCAGGCAATTTTAAGCAATAAGCTGGAGCACAAGAAGATGTTTATATTACAATGTGGATTCTGCACCAGTTGAGGCTTGAGCTTGCCACCTCTGGAACCTAAGACAGTCATCTACTGCTCTGAGGTAATTGGCAAGTAGCAACTCAACAGTGGCTTCACAAATTGAGTCAGCCATTCACTGTTGTGTAGGAAAGCAGCCATCCGTGCATGGAAAGGCAGATTTGAAACCACTGTAAAAAAAATTCAGTTATTAAGACAAAAATCTGAAAATACACATATTGCATCTAGACAGAAAAATTGTGGGAGGAGATAGGTTTAAGAAGTTTTACAGTTTTTGAAAAAATAGAGTGATGAACTTCATAATTTTTAATAGGTTTAAATGTACAAAAGTTTCTTCAGTATTGGGGCTACAGTTTGATGAAAGTTGTGAAGTTGTAGCACGTATGGTTGATTTGTTATGAATTTTCAAAGTTTTGAACTTTAGACGCTTGCTGTAGCGCCACCATCAGGACTATTGGCTTGAGTTTACAGCTGAGGATATCTGGCATGAGACTGGACCTTTGTGCAAAGTTTGGTGAGTTTTCACCCATGGGAAGTATGATTTCCTCTGAGGAAGAAGAAGAAAAAGAAGAAGAAGGACAAATACATTACAGTGGAAGACAAGTAGAAAGTGCTATTAAAAAAAAATACTCAGGTAAAGTATTGGCCTAATTACTTAAAGATTTGTACCCAAATACAGTGCTTAAATAAATGTGCCACTGCAGCTAATGTTTGATTTCTCTAACACCTTGTTATGTAATCAGACAGAGACTCGAAGCTGAGTCGTTAGTCCTTCGTCGGACACCGTGCTGTTTGCGAAACGTCATCATGGCGCGACTTCTTACATGTGCACAACACAGCAGCGGTGAGGAGCTCACCTGGAGCAGTTTGTGATAAGGTACGTTTATTTTAGTGCCATATTTTGATCCTATTGACTCTAAGTGTGTGTTAATGAGCGGATTCTTTGTCAGTGAAGTTTAATGTGTTTAACTGTCGGCTCATTTACCGACGATCAGTCATTCATCAGCAGTGGAGGAGACAACTCTGGTACAAGTTTAAATGGTGCATTCAAGACTTAAGAACAAAGTACAAACATGTCTGCATCGAAATATACTTTAAGTACCGACAGATAAAGCACAGAGGAGATGCGGGGTTTGATTCTGCCTCGGCTTCACTCCTCCACCATTTGTGACTGACTGCACAGTCCTTCACAGCATTCATCTAACTGATACTAAACTCTGTAGGATTTATGATGACGTCGACTCCACCTGCTCCCCATGATTTGCACACTCTTGCACAATTACCGGTCTGAATTGTCACCATATCCCAAACCATTAAACCCCAGTTAGACCAGTTTCTAACACATCCCTGTATGGAGTCTCCCCCAGGCTGATTGGCTGAGGGCTGAATACTGTAAAACTTTGGCAGCCTGAGTGCAGGTGCAATAATAAACTCAAGACTGTCATAAAGATAAAGATTGTCAGTATTGCAGGGAATTTGGTTGACAAGTCATAGAAACAACTCGGCAATATATTTGACAGTGCTGTATACAGGAAACTGCCAATGTACTCCCATCTGGGCATCGATTTAAGGTCCCAAGAACCAGTCAGAACATGTACAAGAGGTCATATATTCCCTGTGCCGTACAGGCTATGAACCCAGAACTACGGTATCAGGGAACACTACTATCTCTATAAGAAGCAATAAGGGAGGATGTGATAAATAAAAAAGATTAGTATTTGTGTAAAATGCTGTTTATTGCCAGCAACAAAGCGATTACAAAGAACTGGTACAAATCTGAGCCTCCAAGCCTGAAACAATGGACGGACATAAACAAGGAGTTCTTTATAATGGAAAAGATGAGTTTTCCTTTGAGGCCTAAGATGAGAGAAATGGACTCTTTATTTCAGAAGACAAGGACACAGCTTTACTGTGACTGTCTGTGGACAATAAAAGGACATTTAACACATGGACTCATGAATACTGAACTGCTGTGGCCCCACACAGGGCTCTCTGTGGTGTTTGTGTTTCGTCTAAACATCTAAAAGTACTTTAAATCGAGGTAGTTTTTCTTTATATATATATATATATATATATATAATTTTGAATTACTTTATTGTGTAATTATTTGTTGAGTGTCACCACTAACAATATTTATCTTTTAGTTTCAGGTCTCCAGATCCTTGAAGGGCAGCTGCACACTTCCTCTTCGCCGTCCTCGTTCAGCCATGAGTGACAGTGACGACGACGTCCCGACACTGTCCGCTCACACTCTGGCCGCCCTGCAGGAGTTTTACAATGAGACCAGAGACACCACACCGTCAGACCAGTTTGCTGTGGGAGCAGTGGAGGAGGACTGGGTGAGTTCGCTGGTTTCAGTGACAGGAGACAGAAACACTGACTCTGGATCAGTTCTGGGTTTGATTCAGCAGTGGTGAAGGAACCAAAAGACACAGAGGACGAGACATGGACAAGTGTTTTATTGGCTTATCACAGATACATAGTCAACATATAGATTAACTGTAACAGTACAGTTCATAATGCACATAATTGCACATTTGAGGGAACCCTGGTTAAGTCCTGTTACAATGATCAACAGAAAATTGATCACTAACTATTTAGAGAGGTGATTAACAGTTGAAGTTGTTTGTAATGCAAACAAAGTTTCTGAAATGTGAATATTTGCTTTGTTTCATATTATTGCAAATTAAATATCTTTTGCATTTCCCTGTCAGAACCTGCACACTACAGCAGCTGTTCATTCATGTAATTATTTTTCATGCCTTCTCTACTACTACCGCCCAGCTGTTTTACTTTTATTAAATTTGTATTACTTCTTGTATTTTATTATTTATTTCCCCCGTATGCAAATGTAATCATACACACGAACACGCATACAATATTTAACAAATTTTCGCAAATTTAAGTGCTGCTGTAAGATATTATTTGAATTATTCTGGCTCTTATTTTACCCCTTTTTTCTGTTGTTCTGTACGTCACATTTTCTTTGTCTTTATTTTATTTTTACAGTTTTTGCTTTATTTTTATTTTATTATTTATTTGATCCTTTTTCCTGTTGTTGGTCTGTACATCACCTTGTTTTCTTTGTCTTTATTTTATTTCAGCTATTTTTGCTTTATTTTTATCACTTTATCCTTTTTTCTGTTCTGGACATCACCTTGTTTTCTGTCTTTTTTTATTTATATTTATTTTATTTATTTATTTTCTGTTATTGTTTTGTATGTCACCTTGTGTTTTTTGTCTATTCTTGGATATTTTCTTCCCGTTCCTATCATCGTAAAGTCACCACTGTTTTACACTTTCTGTTTTGTATTTTACACTAAAAAAAAAAAAAAAAAAGGAAATTAAATATATTTCAGCTTTGGACTGTTTTGTTGGACAAATTTTAAGACACAATGTCACTATTTTTGGTCATTTTATTGATGGTTGAATTGGAAAATTAACTGATAATACATGTAATCTTAAGGTATAGCCCTAAATTAAATGTTTCTGAAGTTGATTAAAGTTTCCACAGTGTCACTGATACGTTTGTTTGTGTTTCCTCCAGCGGATGAGTCAGTTCTGGTACACTGACGAGACAGCGACTAAGTTAGCCGAGGAAGCCATACGTGAAGCTGGAGAGGGAGGCAGGTAAAACCACACACGCACACACACACACACACACACACACACACACACACACACACACACCTACTACGAAATAAATCACTCTTTGGTTGAACTCATCGTAGCTCGTAGACATGCTGCATGAACTGACTGCTTCATTTTAAAGCCGGGGTAGAGAGAAATCTGGAACCTGAAAACACATCCTCCTCCTGCAGCAACTATTGGCAGCATTTTGTCTCCATCTCTGAAACACTTTGCTGTTTTCACACGTGGTTTATTGTCTCACTCTCTGTTTGTTAAGTCCATCAAACTTTTTGGTTGCTCTGCAGTGTATGCAGATGTTGCCATTGCTGGAATAGCAGCTTCCCCTGCAGGACTCTCTGCCTTTGAATCAGGCTTTTCAAGTCTAGTTTTCTCTCAGTCCACTTGAAATCCAATATTCTCAAAGTTTAATTTGGGGATTTTTGCCCAGTGATGCAGAAATAGAACTGCCTACCCCAGCTTTAATGTGTCATAAGCTCCCAATAAAAGATGAACACACTTTTTTTAACCTTTATTTTGTACATTTTCAATTTAACAAACAGAAGTGTGAAAAAGACACAAGGGACAGAATGAGGTGAGCAAACGCCAGAGACAGATACGTAAGGACAGTGGTGTCAGAAATATTTAACTAGCAAGTAGAAAGTACTAGTACCACACTGTCAAAATACATTGATTGATTTGTTTATTTAAGTATCATGCACATAATTGTGCCCAGCTCACATGGGCTTACAAGACACTAAACTATATCAGTACGACAAGTAGCATAAAATCGGAATACTCAAGTAAACTACAAGGACCTCAAATTTGTGTTTAAGTACAATACTTGAGTAAATATACTTGGTTACATTTCACCACTGACTACAATTAAACCTGCAAAATGGCAGCTGTAGAAGGACGTCCTCAGTTTGTTTGACCACAGAGCAACAAACCCCAAATTTAAGCCTGATCTCTAACATATTTCTTAACGTGTCCTTTCGCTGCAGGATAGCATGTGTGAGCGCGCCCAGTGTGTACCAGAAGTTGAAGCAGGGCGTGGTGGCTGGCTCTGATCGGATATCCGCTGTCGTGTTGGAGTATGACCGCCGCTTTGCCTCCTATGGCGATGACTTCATCTTCTACGACTACAATGAGCCGCTGGCTCTTCCGGGCAGCGTGGCTCCTCAGAGCTTCGACATCGTCATCGCTGACCCGCCGTACCTGTCCAAGGAGTGTCTGAGTGAAGTGGCCAAAACCATCAAGTACCTGAGCAAAGGCAAAGTGCTGCTGTGTACAGGTGAGAGGAGGCGGGGGGCTCGGATGTCTGATGCCAGTTTGTTAGTCTTATGTATTATGAAAGTCACAGAGAGAAGCACCTGTTTTTCTTAAAGATAATTATCTTAAAAATACAACTAGTTATTCAACATTTACTGCAGTTAAGAAGCTCTTCTAAACATTTGGATTAAAAGCATTTCATCAATTGTGAGATAAAAGGTTTTTAACTTTCTGCAAAGTCTGTTTCCTACTGAGCCAAACATGAACCAAATTTGAGGTTGTATTTATGAAAGATTTCCACTAAATTTAAGTGGAGGAATTGAGCTGCAACAACAACTCACTTAATGTTCTTTGAAGCAGCTTTTTACATCTGATTTGGTTTCTGGTCTGTTGTGTTTCACAGGAGCCGTCATGCAGGATTTCGCCAAAGACCTCCTGGATGTGAGAGTGTGCAGCTTCCTACCAAAACACAACAAAAACTTGTCCAACGAGTTTCGCTGTTATGTCAACTATCATTCTCACCTGCTGTCCTGAACCTCTGTCTCATCAACACTGACTGTTCAGAGCAGAAAGAACCAGATGGAGGGAGGACATCATACAGACATTTTACGGCACAGTGCTTTTAGTACTGTGCTCCTGAACTGTTGAGGAATGAATGGATGCGTTATGACCTGCAGTGAAAGTGGACATTTTGTTAAATTAAAAGTGAACTTGGGCTTGTTGATGGGTTTTTACAAAAATGATTGTAAACCGATGGAATTTATTGACGTTGATTTTGGTGAACAGCTTCAGCTGGTAATTGGGCAAAAAACACCAAACATGAAGTGGTTTCAGTTTTTTGTTTCGCTGCTTTACTGTTTTGCATCATTTTAAATAAATATCTTTGTGTTTTGGACTGTTAATCTCTGACTCTATGCAATTGTGATGGACCTGTAACCATCTATTAATTATTTTAAATCAATCAATTAAAGGGGAATACGATATACAATGACTAATGTGTCACAGCTGTGGATTTTTACAGCGACCAAATACTGCATCACATTTATCTTTAAAGTTTACTATGACTTTTATTGAATGGCATTTTTATGTCATAAAATTTTTCATTGTTAAGTCATAGTATAGTATTTGGTCCAAAATCATGAAAAAAAAGTCATAGTATAGTATATTGTCCAAAACCATGGGAAAAAAGTCATAGTATAGTATGTCGTCCAAAACCATGGAAAAAGTCATAGTATAGCATGTCGTCCAAAACCATGGAAAAAAAGTCATAGTATAGCATGTTGTCCAAAACCATGAAAAAAGTCATAGTATAGCATGTCGTCCAAAACCATGAAAAAAAAGTCATAGTATAGCATGTTGTCCAAAACCATGAAAAAAGTCATAGTATAGCATGTCGTCCAAAACCATGAAAAAAGTCATAGTATAGCATGTCGTCCAAAATCATGAAAAAGTCATAGTATGTTGTTCAAAACCATGAAAAAAATCATAGTATAGCATGTCGTCCAAAACCATGAAAAAAGTCATAGTATAGTATGTTGTTCAAAACCATGAAAAAAAGTCATAGTATAGCATGTCGTCCAAAACCATGGAAAAAGTCATAGTATAGCATGTCGTCCAAAACCATGGAAAAAAGTCATAGTATAGTATGTCGTCCAAAACCATGGGAAAAAAAGTCATAGTATAGCATGTCGTCCAAAACCATGAAAAAAGTCATAGTATAGTATGTTGTTCAAAACCATGAAAAAAGTCATAGTATAGCATGTCGTCCAAAACCATGAAAAAAGTCATAGTATAGCATGTCGTCCAAAATCATGAAAAA